AACCATCTCATAGATGCATCTTATGAGGTATACATGGCGAGTGAATGGGCCCATATTCACCTTTGATATTTCCAGCATTCATGGGATTCAATCCCAATTTTAGTTGGTATATTAATTAATGAGAACATGCAACATAAGAGAATTCGTAAAGAACTTTCTAGTTCTTTAATATTTACCCATGTGAATTCTCTTTTATTTTTGCACATCATACTTAAATTGATATGGGTAAACCAATTATGCCAACTGAATAAATTATCAATATTGATAAACTTCAGATTTACACCATGACGTGTGCAATTATCAATAAACTCCATGTTTATTATGATATGGGCTTTTATATCAATAAACTTCTCTTTATTGTGGCATTCTTTTGTTTGTGTAGTACAAACTGGAGAATAAAGCGGGTAGCTTTTCACATACATATTACCCCGCTACAAGTTGTAGTAATAGAAGATATTAATTTTTTCCTTTATTTATAGTCTCAATATAACTTTCGCTATTCTTTGGAAACTGAATAAGTTTCTTTGAGACTTACTACAACACAATACCTTATTGGTAATCAATTGTGTTTCTCCAAAATAGTATAATTGGCTCTTGCAGAGTTCTCAATTAATTTTGTACTATCACATATTCATCAACATCCATATGGTGAATATCTCTTTTAAGGAGAAAGCTATACCATTATGGTCATGGTCAAAATTATATGCGAGATATGTTTGATGCATTATTGTTGTCCTTTAATAATCACATTGCCAAAATATTTGGCGTACAATAGGTACGTGACCAATGACCATTCATGCCATAATAATGACATTGATTTCTTATATTATCTCAAACCTCCTTCTAGAGGTGAGTGTGGTATATTCACTACCACTGTAGCACATTCATATTCTTCCAAGAATGAATATGTATTCATAAATCAGATATTTTCACATTTACATCATGATTGGACCATAGTCATCTGTATGTGCTTTACGAAATCTTATGTCAAATCGATAACAAACATTAATTTCACAGAGTGAAGGCTTATTTTGAGAATCATTATTATTCTCATTATCACAATGATAACGATTATAATTTCGTCTATTGTCACGTCCACATCCATTGATACGTTCACGGTAATAATTTTATCTTCTTTCAGACTTATCACATATTGCTATCACATTCTCTTAAGGGAATGAGAATGGAGCAAATTCAATGGACGGGTTTCCACTTCTTGTGCTCATAATCATACATGAATTTAATCATGGCAAGACAGAAATTTTACCACTTCGAGTGGTTATAATTTCTTACTAACTCCATTAGATTTATAATCAAATTTTATTGTCTTTGCTTGTATTTAAAATCAAATTATAGAATAAAAGAGAAAAATACGGTAAAATACTTACCTTAAATCCAGAATATAATCATGAAGGAAGTTCATGGAACAATTGACAGTCATAATGCTCAATCCCAAAGGTTTTACTCAATTGGTTAGAGTCTCGTGCTGATAACGTGTTATGAAACAATAAAAGAAGAAGAAGAGTATTACAGAGAAAAGTAGAGAGAGAGAGAGAATTTTTATTGATTTGGAATGAATTACAATAGAATAGAACCCTCTATTTATAGGGAGAGGGTAACTTACTTGATCACGCCCAACTATGCCTTGTAAAAAGGACTAAGCGGACGTTGCAAATATAACCCGAGTATTACGCCCAGGATCGAATCCACAGAGAGTTAACCTACCAACTACTATCTTCAGACCCACTAATTCTTCAGAACCAGCTTCCCAAATATTCAAATCTCAGTTGAGTGTTCTTTAACGACTAGCTTGCAAGTAACTAAATAGCTGTAAACTAAACTAATGAGGTTGTAAACAATTATGAGGAAACGCTAAGGCAATAATTTCCCCTATTGATGGAATCCCTTCTGTTTATGCTCATACAAATTTACCCACACATCTCTATCAATCATGAACGCTAATCTTACCGCAAATCTCTCCCGAGTAATCACAGTAATCTACTATTGCACTCTCCCGAGATACACTAGCTTACTTTATTTAGCACAATTCACTTTAGATTACACCCAAGGCTTCGTTATCCCTAATCCCGCCTTTAAACCCGCAATTATAGATTCCTCAATAATCTAGGAGTGGTGTTGTTCAACAATACCCTAAATATGCACTCTTTTCCAAGTTATGCACACTAAATAGGCACAGCTAATTGAGGATCCTGTCAATTAACTACAACGAACACGAAGTTGAACAAATAGAGATTAAGCTGGCAATTTTGTATTCACATAAACAAGAAGTTCATCACCCAATAGGTTCCATCAAAACCTTAGACAAGGAATTTAGCTACTCATGGCTATGGGAAAATAAACTAAGATTGAATTCATCATAAAAATCAAATGAAAAGAAGAAAGATGTTTAGAGTACTCTCTCACAATGGTTTTTCTTGCTAAGAAACCTTAAAAATCAATACATGCCTCTCTTGGGCGAAGTCTAATGTTTTAAATAGGTTTTAGGTCTAAAAATCTCGTAATTGACACTTTGGTCCCAGAAGTTTCTGCGCCTGCCGCGGTTCTGCCGCGGTCGCGGTAGAACCGCGGCCAAACACCCTCGCGGAATCACTGAGGTTCTGCAGCTGCTTCCCACCGCGGTTCTGCCGCGGTCGCGGTGGAACCGCGGTGGACCCAGTGCTCTGAATCTTCGGCCTGTTTTGCGTGGTTCACTTGGGAAATTTCACAGTTGGCCTCTTTTTCATCTACTTTACTACAAATTGCTCTTAGCCTTCTTATACATATTCACCTACAATCATAGAAAGCACTANACATATTTCACCTACAAATCATGAAAAGCACTAATAAGAGCATTTTGTTATCACTTTTAGCATTAAAACTACACAAGAAGGTGATTATTTAAGGTGTGATTATAGTCAAATTCACTTATTATCATTAGTCACCAAGCAATGAACCCTAGAATCTCTGTAAATATAGACATTTACCATAAATACAATTCTATATATATATATATATATATATATATAGAGAAGGGACACTGCCCCGGTGGCATGCCTCACTGACCACCATTCATGTATTCATTTTTTCAGTTTTTCACTTCTTTTTTTCTCTTCTAATTTTTAAAATAACGGGTCAGGAGTAAGAAAGGATAACGTAGAAAAAGAAGAAATTAAATGGAATGGAAGAAGTGAAGAGAAAAATTATAGAAGATATTCATAGAATTTGACTCCACTGATTTTGGGGATATGGATTCGGTTTTACTTTTTTTTAATCTTTCATTATTCATTATGAGTTGTTATATATTGTCCTTTTTAATTGTACGAAAAACATAATCTATACATGTATATACTATATACATTAAATGTCCAAAAATTAAAAAATTTATCACGCATTTCTTTTCTATTACATTAAATAGTCAACCAAGGACATATATGTCATTTCAAAAAAATTATTATATTGTTGCATTTCTTAAATGCAAATTGTGTCCTCCTTGATATACATGGACCCCGCATTCCCTTGACCACAATACTCCTTTAAAGTCTAAATGTACTATTGATTAGACTGCTTTTACAGATAATTTATATAGACTTCTATTAGATATTTATTATCTTATCACCAGTTAAATCATTTTAAACGAGTTATAATAAAACATAATTTGAACTGTCATATTGAATTACTACAATTTATATCATGTTAATATTTGTTTAGTGCAGTTGGTTCTCTTTGTTTGAAGTAGTAAATTGCCTCTTTAGGGATGCTAGTCCCTTGGAAGTTCTCTTTGTTAACTGTACTAAAACTTTCTCTTGATTTTGTTCTATACAAAACATAAAGTAAAATCATAAGTTTTTTTTCAACTTTTCTCGTATTGAAAAGAGTGATGTTGTTCGTTTTAATTTGCATCAGGTAGCTGATTGTTCCCACTATTGAACACTTGCAAGACCAAATTGGATGTATTCAAAATTAGTTTACAAATAGATCGGTAAGTTTTTTATTGTAGTGTTAATATAAATTACACTTGTACCTTTAATATATTATCTTGTAAAAATTCAAATATAGTGGGGAAATAATATCATTCAATCAATTTTACAATTTGATATTTATATTTGACATTGATGTTAAAATAAGTGTTATAGCACATAGTCTTTTTATGTTAATAATTGGAGCAACTTAAGCAGGTTATAATTTATAGTTTAATTTTTTGTAAATTATTGTAATAAATTTATTGTAATTTGTGATCCCCAATATCATTCTCTATCAGTTATTAAATGGATATAACAATGATTGATTTATTTATCAACTAATTAATTGAGCACCGACAAACAACAATTTTAAGATTATAATATTGGCCCGTATACGGGCCTTTCCTCATCTAGTACAGACATAGAGACGCCATCATTTTTCTTGAAATGTTTTCTCTTTCTTTACGCATCATTTAAAAAAAATAAAATTATACTATCACAACATCAAGTATCCCTAGAAGACTAAAAACTCTTAAATAGTGAAAAATTAGAAAAAATTATAGATCTTACGGTAAGTAATAAAATGGATGTATTTGGATTTGAAGACTAGAAGGAATCTTAACATATTTTTATATTTGGGTATTAGAAAAGATTTACTTTGCATATCGAACAAGGTTTTTATTTGATAGCATTTTCACTTGGTTCATTGATAATTCTATTTCATTATTTTCTAATATCTCTGTCTCGCTCGCACTGTGTATATATGTTTTTTAAATTATAAATTTCTTGCGTGTGGTTAAATGACTATCATTATTTTGGTGAATGCCCCAACTAGATAGTTAAATGTTTCCATCTGTAGAGAGGATAGGGACAGTTTCAATTACATCACATGAAATGGCAGAACGCCATTTGTAGCGGTCTTTTCTTGACACCATAGTTTTGAGTTTCAGCTCAATTTGCATGGCGTGAGACAGGTGTCTATGAATTCTTACTCCTAAATATAGCAAGCATCACCCTTTGTCCCTATAAAATCCCTTAACTTTCACATAGCTTTCATCACAATAATATTACTAATAAGGAAATCTTCACGAAGAGCTAATTAGATCCCTCTCAAAATGAAGCATTTTCCTACAGCTGCTGTGCTTCTCTTCCTAATGCTTCTCCTCTCAGCAAATGGTATATATATATATATATTCTGTCCTTTACACATCTTCCCACTAGGATTTAGGTTCCTTTTATTTTTTTAAAAGGAAAAAAATTAAATAATCATGTTTGTCCCTTATTATTTATGGTAGGGATGTTATTATACTTTTAGGCTGTATTGATGTTTTTCCTTAATTACAAACTAAACTTTCCTTTCCACTCTCTCTGAGAGAGCCATAGAGACACTGGATCAAAATATTTCAGTAGGTGTATAGCGTAAAAAAACGTTGATATATTAACTCGATAATTTTAATTTGGTAGGTTATTATACAAAAAAAAATTATTAGGTAGGAGCTGAACATGCACAAATATATATTGTAAATCTAATACGCACATATATGTATGGTAGACCCTTAATTAAACATAATTGGTAGTTTACATAAAATAAAGTGAATCTAGACCCTTAATTTGGTAGTTTACACGTGGCTAGTATCCAGCAATACATTGAACACTACTGGATAGAAAAATATTGGAGGGGATCTCATCCCATATATGTATCTGTGCGACAGTAAATGTGTCTACATATAATGTATGTTTGCATTCACGCGTAAATGCCTCTATTACTTTGTAACTTGAAGGAATCCTTAATGTATCAACTAAATTAGTTCTCTAAACTAGAGTACAGCTTTATAGCCTGAGATTAGCTAACCCCTGCCCCTCTCTCTCTCTCTCTCTCTTTGTTTAGAATCTTGAAATGAAACAAATGATAGAGAAAGAAGTGTCCTTCCTTTGATCCTATTCATCCTAGTTCTCGGAGAGAAAAGTTATTGGCCCAAAACCTGGAAAATAAATCGAAAGAATTTACCGAAATTGCTTATGTGTAATTGCGTATAATCAATCTATAATCTATCTATATAGATAGAAGAAGTATCTTCTTCTATCTGAAGGGGAAGGTTCCCAAACAATCAATATGTTCAATGTTTAATCGATTTATATGGTTAGAAAAAGTAAACAATCAATATGAATTATTTCTAAAATGCCACATGAGAGAATATTTCCTTGTTGGGACTCCTTTTCGATATATAGAAAATATAAACAATCTTTTTAGCCTTTTCTATTTCTTAATTAATGTCATTAACTTTTATGAATGTAGAAATAGGTCCAATAAAGGTAGAAGCAAAATTATGCCAATACAAGAGCAGAACCTTCTTCGGCGTTTGTATCAGTGGTAACAATTGCAACCAAAAGTGCCAAGGCGAAGCCTTTGACGGAGGACGTTGTCATGGGGTTCGTCGTCGCTGCTACTGCTACAGGACTTGCTAGTTTCCTTCACTACTTCAACTGAAGTATATAATGGTTTAAATAAAATGTAATAATGCTCTTTTCCTATATGGTTTTATTACCATTGTATCGTTTTAATAAAAGTGATGATCCTTTGGTCTATGCATGTAGCAATTATTTCTTACTTACCTAATTAATTAATACTTCTTATATATATTTAATTTGTACCATTTTAAAGTTAGTGTTTGTTTTATTATTGTTTGCCTGTATATTCATTTTGATTTTGCTGAATACTACGGATAGTAGCAAAAATAAAAGTGAAGATGTTACCTTTCTATAAAAAAACACAAGAAAAAGAAGATAATATAGTAATGGGATACTTGAAAAAATAGTTTTGTTGTGTCTAGTTTTGTGAGTGGAAGAAAAAATTTTATCAAAAATTGTCCTAAAATAGTTTTTTGGGAACTTGGAAATTTTTGCAGGTCTTTTTTTTCCAAAAATAATTAGTAATATTTTTAATTTTTTTTTCTTAAAAAATAAAGTTAAAATCTATGGCCAAACGGGAGACTAACAAATGATAGTGTCAAAAATTAGTACATGATGGTGAAAACACGGGACTCTATACGAGCCTTAGTGTTTACAGTTTTTTCTTTAAAACATTTCCCACTGATCTGGGGGTGATATTGTATATATGAAAAAGAGCACAAGAGGAGAGCTTGACCTTACATCAAAAGATACAACATAAGGGCAAATACTTGTCCTACAGAAAAGGATGGCATAAAAAGCAAAATTTTATTCTACCATCCAACATTTCAACTTGGACTAATCCAAGCTTCTCCAATCCTAGAAGTACTTTTTTTATTAAAAAAAGTATGTTTTTTTTTTAAAGTTGAAATGTTAGGCCAAGCTTTTGGAAGAAAAAAAATTCTGGATCCCGCTCTCAGCTTCGTCGATCCTCTCAAGTTTCTTATCCTGTTGAAGGCTTATGAATCGTTTTCTCCAAAAGATCGAGCTTACTTCATCTCAGTTCAATCTGCTCATGAACCTGAATCATTTGCTGAAGCCTCCAATCATTCTTGCTGGAGAAATGCTATACAGGAAGAAATTAATGTCCAGGAAAAAAATAATAAGACTTAGTCTCATTGCCTGCAGGGAAAGAAGCCATTGGCTGCAAGTAGATTTACAAGATCAAGCATAAAGCAGATGGCTCGGTAGATAGATACAAGGCTAGATTAGTAGCTAAAGGATTCCTTCAAGAATATTGAGTCGAACCCCTTTAGAGATAGGGAAAACATTTGCTTCGCTTTTGAGGAGAAGTAGAAGCAGTTTTGGAGAAGCAGAAAAAGTAGCTTCTCTTCAAGCACTTTTTTGAAAAGCATTTTTGCGAAAAATACATATAGAAACAGTTTTTAAAAGTTTGGTCAAACACTAATTGATGCTCAAAAGTGCTTTTCAAATTAATTAGCCAAACACAAACTGCTTCTCACCAAAAGTACTTTTGAGAAAAACACTTCTAAAAAACCCACTTCGCAAAATAAGCTGATTTTTGCAGCTTGCCCAAACAGGCTATAACTAACATAGAAACTAGCCTTATCATATCTTAGCCTAATGGAAGGCATATGAAATTAGTCTAATAGGAAGGGAGTCTTAGCACTATTAGGAAGATCTGTGGAAGTGTGACAAACAGAGCTATGATGATTATCTTTGGCACTTTTTTTGCTAGATAATCTGCAACACTATAAGCCTCCCTAAAACAATGTGTTTTGTTTACAGTGAAGGTGCAATTAGGATGTTGCGCCTTCAGATTCAGCGAAAAAATTTATACTGAAGGTGTGTTGCAATGTGTCACGATCCAAATCGATGGGCCGCAACGGGTACCCGGTACCTTACTCAACCGAGTACCAACATAACGTATATTTTCATATCATGCTACCATAGATAAATGAGAGAGAATAGCTGCCATAGGATAACTAGAATAAAACATGTAATACCAACTTATACATAAGACATACATGCCTATAAGACCAAAGTGACCACTCGTACATTGAACATAGGCTGACAAGGCCATACAATCTTTTACGTACATGACATATGTCTACAAGCCTCTAAGATTAGATAAATGTTTAGCCAAAAAATGGGTTTTTAGTCAAAGCTAAAATTTAGAAGAACTCGGGTTACTGATAATCAAGAAAATGAATAAAAAGAAGTAATTCTGGATAGCAATATGGTAATCAAGAGAAACAAATAAATCAATGTCTATTCCAATAGTCTTTTGTGTCTTTACAACTGATCATATATCTCCTTTTTATAGGTACCTTTGAGAATATACGTTTTGCTCGAATCATAATAAGGCTATTATGAGTAATTAAAGACGTTGAATGCTACATTATACAATCATTACATTCAAAATATATTCTCTAACATATTCAGCATTATAATGCTCATTAAATGCCGTATCTGCTCTCTTTTCTATTGTCAGATTCATTCCTTCTGATTCTCTGATATAAATGACTTAAATAGGTACGGGCGCCGTGTTACTTGTCCGATGTCCCGTGCCTCTTCCTCTTTCTTTGCTCGTATCTGTTGTAACTCCTGACTCATGACTAATTGCGATTCTTTGACTATTTGACTAATCCAGGTGTCTTGACACGTCACCTTTATATATAAATATAATTTTTTCCAATACAGATAGTTCCCCCACTTTCCATTTATTCATCACTTGAATATTTGGGAAGTGGATTTCATTAAAAGAGAATTTTTGTCACCATTAATGCTCTGACAAAATTAATGCTTCAATTGTCACTTCCATTTAATACGTTACACACGTGTCACCCTCTTATTGGTTTTACAATTTTGCAGTACTTTCTTAGGCTTTCTTTTCGGCCTTCCTGTTTACGAAGTGTCAGTTATCATTATTATGGCCCTTCCTTCATTGTACTTTTTCCTTTTGCCGGTTACCCATCAGTATAAATATAACTTCTTTACTTGTCTTTTACCACATAAAGCGTATCGAACACTTTAATTCTTCAAATCTCTATTCATTTCTTCTTCACTTCAATCTTCTTTGTCATGACTTCACCAAACCCTAACCCTAGGAGAACCCCTATTTTAGATAACTTCCCCAATGCCGCCATTAGGCATAGAAGAGGGTATAGACTCCGTAGCTTGGGGTCTGCTCGCGGTGGTAGCTCATCCACGCCTTCTCCTAGTTCTGGTCCCTCTTCGAGAACTAGAGGTTCCCTTTCTCAAAGGTCTTCTTCTAGGAACAAAGAACCTTCTAAGACCTTACGAGAGCCTCTAGTTGAAGAGATAGTTCCAACAGAACTATTTTTTCACCATGATAGGGAATCTCTTAGGAACCAAGTCGCTACTTTAGATCGTGCCGATGCTTTCCCTACTCAGATTACAGAAATATTAGCACCTGTAGTTCGTAAGGACTGTCACTGGAGTAGTGATTTTCCAATTATCATTCCCAATCAAAATCAGAGGATCACTTCCTACATGATTGGATTCTCCTTTGTTTATACATACCCTTTCACTCTAGGGTTTAAACCAGCCATTGACCCGGTCATTCTAGATTTTTGCCGTTTTTTCAACGTTTGTTTGGGTCAAATTGGTCCAATTGTTTGGAGGGCTGTCGCCTGCTTGAGGCACCTCGCCAACATGGCAGATGTTGGCTTTACTTTCCCCCACCTAATTCACCTCTACTCCCCTAGGCTTTTCCGCAATGGCGTTTTTACCCTAGTAGCTAAGAGCAAGAGGGTTTTAGTGAGCCCCGAAGATGATAAAGACCGTGGCTGGTATGCTCGGTTTGTTGCTGCCCCCACTGCTGGTTTAGTGGGTGAAGATAACGTTCCCTTCCCTGAGAAGTGGAACTTTGCACGTAAGTGTTATATCTTTCTCGTGCCTTTTTCTTTCAAGCTTATTAATTTCTCTAATGTCGCTTCTTTTCTTTTCTCAGCAACCATGGGTGTTGTGGAGAATGTGCCCAACTTCCGTGGTTGGGTAGAAAAATTGTTGAGGACCGCTCCGATGGAGGGTAGGTCATGGAAAAACCTTTCCAACCATTTCCGTTGGAAAGTAAAGACTCATGGTAAGAGTTTCTATTTTATCTTTCACGTATATAAATATTTTCTCTTATTGTTCTAACTTTTATCCTTCTTTTTATCAGGATTTGCTATTCGAGGGGTTACTGCTGAGGCAGTTGCGGCCTCTCGTGACTCTTTGGGTACTCGTACCTCTTCAGCCCGAGAAATAGTCTTGGGTTCTTCTTCTGCAAAAAGAAAAGCTACTGAAGAAGAAAACTCAGAAGAAGAGGATGAAGGAGGCTCCCTGGTGACGAGACCACGAGCTAGAAGACGTGTCGTATCTGACGACGAAGCTGAAATCTCACCTCGTCTTCCTCTCTCCGAGCCTGTTGATACCCCTGTTATTATTCCTGATGATGACGTCACTTCACATGATACTCGTGAGTCCATTGACCAGCTTTTTATCAGTGGTTTTGATAGTGGCAACTTAGGGCCTGTTTTAGATGAACTTCCTTTATCTTCCTTTTCAACTCCTGCACCTGTGATTCTTTCTTTACCTGCCTCAACTGTCTCTGTTCCTCCCTCTACTATTTTTACTCCTTCCATCGCTCCTCCCTGAACAATTCCCCCACCTATGGTTCACCATACGGAGGTGGGTTCTTCGAGTAGAAGTACTGCTATGAGGAGCGTTACTATTGAAGTCCCTGCTGATAGCAGCCTCTTGAGAAAGTCAGGTCAAGCTGACGTTTGGCTCGAGCCTTTAATTGGCCCAATCGAGAAAGCAAAACTAGAGAGCCATAGCAGCCTGACTTTAATGAATGACATAGTGCATGCCACTTTGAAGGTATTTTCTTTCTTTCTCTTCTTTACTTTGTAAAAATTTTTACCCTCAAGATTCTTATTTCCCTTCCTTTTTCCTTAGGCCAATCTTATTGGCACTGAGCTGATGAACAGAATCTCCCTCTTGGAGAAGGTAGCACGTGATTCTCAGTTGGAAGCAAACAATTGGAAGAACAGTTTGACAGTGCTCAAATTAACATGGAGGATTTACAAGAGAGCAGGAGTACCTTGGAACAGCAAGTGCGAGCATTAACTTCGGAGCAAGCGGTGATCAAGGCTTCCTTGAGCCAAGCT